GCCACACGGTCTCTACAGGCAGCAGTGTACAGCATTCCGCTGTTTCGTCACGTCGTTAGGGGGATGTTCTTGCTTGGACCTGGCGTGCATCCATGATGTGGTTGTGGATGGGCCAATTGTGTAACAGCGTGTTGGCGATCACAAACCCATGGGTAGCAGAAAAGAGCAGCAGCCTCCGACCATTCTTATTGAGCTGATCTGTCCTGTGCCTTCCAACCACTCCAGCCAAAGGGCCAACCTCATGACCCACTAGGGCACTGAAGTGACCAACAGGGTGGCTATCCCGAGGGGCCACTCTAGCCAGCACCTGGGACAGGAGGTCATAGAAGGCATCTGAATCATCAGCCTTGCCTGCATCCCTTCAGTGATGTGCATCTTCGGTGGTGTTGTAAGCCACCACAACCACCATTCCTCCTCGCCTTCTGCTGATGGGAAGGTGGGACCACTGTAGCCTGACTCATCTTCCCACACTGCTGTCACGCTCCCACACCCTCCATTGTTTTAATAGACACCCCGTGTTGTTTGGCAGTTGTATATACAGGGTGTTTAAAAAGATGAACCCAATTTCAAAGCAGTATATTTCACGATGGCAACATGTTACAATTACACAAAAAGTTACAAACTGTTTCATGAGTTATCAAGTTTTACTAACCATTTTACAAATCCATTTTATAAATGCTCTATGTGCCCTCCACCTGTTGTACGGACAACATCGAGACGAGAGTTGAGTTCGTCCCAAACGCCTCTTCTCACGTTTCCCTGATGTGCGTGATCGCCCTGTGCTCCTCCCCTTACATCAACAGCAGCCCGTTTCCTCAAATTGTCGGTACCAACGACGAACGCTCTTTGACATTGGCGGATCAATGCCAAGACGCCGTTGAAACGCACGCCGCACCGCAATTACGGATTCAGTCTTGCTGAACTGCAGAACGCAAAACGCCCCTTGTGTTGCGGGGGTCACCGTCTTGCCAATGACTGAGGCTAGGGGCTGTTTGTGCGCTGGGAGAGGCATCTCGCGGTGATCATTTTAAACTCTATGCCCCGCCCTCTCTATGCCCCGCCCTCTCTAAGCCCCGCCCTTTCAAGTGGTAAGAGTTTCATTCATGGGCGGTTCGTGGTTGCAGAGATTTAGCGATTTCAAATCGGGTCCATCTTTTTCAAACACCTTGTATACTCACACACAGACACAACAAATACATACAATAGACACAGACACCAAAATACAAACTTCACATGCGCGCACTCACACACACTCATGCGCGCATATAAGCACGGACATTTGCATACATACCGACACACACACATACACGGATACACACGGACAAAGGTACCCACATACCTTACACAACTCAGCAGTTGACACAACAGTAAGGCACTCCTGTGCAAATCATCGCCAAAACACCAACACACTAGCACTGATACCAACACTAGTGCTGATACCAACACACTAACACCGATAACCACACTAACACCGATAACCACACTAACACTGATACCAACACTAACACCGATACTAACACTAGCACTGATACCAACACGATCACTGGACTCAGCAGTTTCACGTCCGCTCAGTCACCCGACACAGCTTAGCATATTTCCCGACACACTCTCTTGCGACCCTCCCCAGAAGGTGGAGAATGTGTGTGGGCACACCTGTACAATTCCTAGCAGGTGTGGAAGGTGTGTATTGTGTATGTGTACACACCTGTATGATCAAGTATGTGGATAGGAGTGCCCTGGAATCACTTGAAAACCTACAAAAAGTCACTACCCTAGGAAATTCCATCTTTATTGGTGAAGTTGTTGAGATTTAATACGTGCGCTTGTGCAGTAACACCAAATTACCCGCCCAGAACCTAGGCCTTGTATAAAGCAGGTGGATCGAGTGGATGAGAGAAGTAAATTGTTAAGTTCACCCGTGCGGTCATCTGTGGGGGAGATCAACAAACTATATTTACAAACAACAAAGATAAAAAAAGAACAAAAGTGCATTTTAAAATGTGGTCCAATGAAGCCAGCAGTGGGTGATGGTAAAAACAGATTGTGAGTGATCAAGTTTGTTTGGTTATTCCCCCTAAAGACAACAACGTCCTTCTACTGGGACTCAAAATCCTTGCTGGCTCGATGCAGCAACCCCTCTGGGGGGCTTGCCACTGCCGACACAGAAGTTCATCTATAACAGAGGTTATTATTATTATTTTTGGGGAGGGGGGGGGTTAAGTCGCATAAATATTAATGTCGGAAAATCCGCCACCACCTGACGCAGCCAATTACCAAGGTTTGTCACTTAAAACGTTCCAATTAGTTACTAGTTCAGCACACCGGTTGTGTGTTGGAGAGTAAACCCATAGTATTTAAAACTTGAGTATTTATGCGACCTAACCCAAAAACACTTCAATTATGGATCATAATGGTCGCGACAGCCGACTAAGTGTTAAACAGTAGTTCATGCACACGAGTTCACGACGGTCAACGTTTGTAACAACAACAATGTGGGCCAACGTTCAAAGTTCAAGGCCCCCCACTGGGATTGGGATTCAGAGTCCTGCTGACTACATGCACACCCCGCGAGTGTACATACATACGAGTGTGCGTGTGGCTGGCTAGCACACACGTACGTACGAGTGTGTACGTGTGTTGCTGCCTGGCTCACGCACACGCGTACAAGTGTGTGGCTGGCTAGTGCGCACGCACACAGTGTCCTCGAAATACAGTGATCATTCAGGTTGTGTGGGGTGGCCCCGGTATAACGGTTTTCTTTCAACCTTGTTAATTCAAAGCTGAACAAATGTAGCGCATTCACAAATCCTACTTTTAATATTGTGAGAATTTTTTTTAAAATTCAGAATAGAAAGGTGCAAAAACGCCACTGAAAGCAGTGAAAATAACGAGTCACTATGGCAACGCACCAAATCATTTCTTGAGAACGGCTTGTTGCGTTTAGTTTGTCGTCCTTCCCCACCGCACCTCCGGTGAAGCAGGGTTGGCTACGTACGGTGAGAAAGAGGTTCAATGTACATACAATCCAACGCTCTGGTGGTTTCCGTGGACTAGTACAGAATGAACTGGTTATGCATGGCACGTGACGTTTCCTGCCATTTGAAATTTTTCACGTTATTTTTCCAAGGGGCCACCCTAAAATCGCCATTATATACACGCAGGGCATAGTATAACTCTAAATTAAAAACTAATTTCTTTAGAACTGTGTTTAGTTTGTTGTCCTTGCCCACAGGTCCGATTCGCATGGTTGGGCTAACATATACGGTGCGAAAGAAGTTAAACGTGCGTACGTATCCATGTGGGCTATTTCGAGGGCACACTTGACGGACATGTGCACACATTTATCCATCGTAACGACAATTAACAATGCCCAGTGGGTGGTGCCCTCACACTTGGTGGGGAGCGTGGGGCGCCGACGCTCGGCTCCTGCTCAGTTTTGAGCCGAGAGGTGGAAATGCCACCACGTGGTGCTTCATTTGTATACTTTGTATACCCCCCCCCCCCCCCCCCCGAGAGGATGTAGGGCCAAGTAGGAGCCACCGCCGAGATTGACCTCGCTACCTACTGAAGTTGGGCCGCGGTGATCTAAACACCAGCGGTGTGAGCGCAAACGAAAATCCACCAGAATCAAAACTAAACAAAAAAAAAACTATTATTGTATTTTACCAGGTAAGGTCCACTGAACGACGTGGTTCTTTTTCATAAGCGACCTGGCCGCAAATGACAGCTCAACGAAGTGGCTTATCATGTGGGAATGTATAGCAGCGAAATACTCTAAACCAGGGATCGGCAACCTTGCCTCTCTTCGCAGACTGCCTCGTGACGTGATGCACATGTATTCACATTGCATTGTGGATTTCAAAATATTCAGTTTTGTACTAAAATCGAAAAAATTTGCCTCCTTGTTATTTAGTTTGCTGACCCCTCCTCTAGAGGCGTGCTTCTAAATGTGGAGCGAAAAACCGGAGGACCCGGATAAAAATCCACACGACCACGGGCAGAGACACGGCAAACTCCAAATGCACAGCGGGCGGCAGGGCTGGGATCGAACCTACGACCTCCTGCCATACCAGGCGAGGTCGTTAACATCTCGTCCACTGTGGCAAAAATGTTAACGGCCGCTCCTTGTAACGGGGAGAAGTGGAACTTGATGGGAGGTGCACCCCGACCCAGACCATAGTTACCCCTCACCAACTCTCCACTGACGACAACCAATACCGACGAGCCCACCAGTCACGAGTCCTTGGCCCGCCCACCAACACTCACCCTACCCCCTGATCCTATCGCCGCGCTTCGCCGCATTCCATTTTCACGTTTTGTTCGCTTGTCAGTTTAAGTGGTCACAGTGCGAATAGTGGTACAGCATCAATCACTTAACAGAGTGTAACATTCACATAATAGTGTAACATTCACATAACAAGAATGTAACAGCAGCACATACATATTTACACAAAGACTCCTGAATAGCCTTTAACAGATTGTTGAGGGCAAGTGCTGTTAGCGAGTAGCACCTATAAAGGTCGTCGGTATGGCATGCGAGGGAAGCGGGTGAAAAACACCACCGCCCGGCCGCCTTTGTATCTCCAGCGCTGATGAGTTGGGCACTGCAACAGCTCCTGAAATGCTGAGGTGACCTCAGGGAGCCTCTCCCCCCAAGGTGACCTCAGGGAGCCCCTCCCCCCAAGGTGACCTCAGGGAGCCCCTCCCCCCAAGGTGACTTAAGGGAGCCCCTTCCCACCAAGGTGACCTAAGGGAGCCCTCCCCCCAAGGTGACCTCAGGGAGCCCCTCCCCCCAAGGTGACCTCAGGGAGCCCCTCCCCCCAAGGTGACCAAAGGGAGCCCCTCCCCCCAAGGTGACCTAAGGGAGCCCCTCCCCCCAAGGTGACCTCAGGGAGCCCCTCCCCCCAAGGTGACCTAAGGGAGCCCCTCCCCCCAAGGTGACCTCAGGGAGCCCCTCCCCCCAAGGTGACCTCAGGGAGCCCCTCCCCCCAAGGTGACCTCAGGGAACCCCTCCCCCCAAGGTGACCTAAGGGAGCCCCTCCCCCCAGGACTGGCTCAAACATTCGCCACCGTCATTGGTCGCGATAGGGAATCAGAACTCAGGTCGCCGTGTTCATAGCGCAGCGCGCTAACCGCTGCGCCACCGCTCCCCATAAGGGTGGGGGTCAGTGATGGCGTGCGGTGCCTCACCAGGTGAGCGAGCCACCAACACCACTGGCTTCCTGCTCAAATGAGGCGGTGCTCATCTCCTGCGTGCAGCCCTGAGCAGGTGATGGAAATTCCGCGTCTTCTGATGGGGCCGAGTATCCCAAAGGACAACCACTGTTGTCGACTTGCCCACAACAGAATCACAGCCGCGTGAGGCCACGAAACTAACTCCAGGTGAGATGGCACCGTCTACCCGAGGATTTACGCCTGTCCGCCACATGTTTAAATAAACTATAAACAATTATTATTTTACCACCGGCTGAAGCACACCGAAGCTTCTCTTGTCACAAGCGATGTGGCCATCACAAATGATAGCTCAACGAAGTGACTTGTCATTAAGTGGAAATATATAGCAGCAGTAGCTCAGCAATCGAAATGCACGCCCATTTCTGAACGTGGAGGGTAAAAAAGAAAAACCCAAGGGGACGACCCGGAGGTAAAATTCGACGCGGCAACGCAAAACAACGGAGAAAATAATTCCACGTGACAAAGTAAAACAATGGTGGCGGTGGCGATTACACAGGTCAGCTCTGTGTTGGGGGGGCGCTGCGACCTTTCAGCAGTGCACCGTTGTGCACACTCAGCGAGCTCCAGCACGAGGTCGTCGCTGCCACCCGCACGCCACCATTTTCCCACGTCAATAAGAGGCGAAACAGTTTGAACAATTGTCGCGAATCGAGTTTGCGATCCCATTGCAGAATCCATTAAGGGCCGTTTGATGCGTTTCTGTTAAACGGCGCTGTGGTGAACTTAACGGCCACCAAGCGGATCAAGTGGTCACACGGACGCACTGCATGTGACATTTGTCATTTCTACATTTGTTTAGCGGGCCTTTGTGGAGCCCCACTAACCGGGTGAAGCTATCCCCAGACAGTGCCGCTTGCGAGGGTTTTTATTCAATGTTGTTTGAGCAGGCGCGAACTCCTGAGACCAGGGATAGTCTCATTTACAAGGATGACCACCCTGGGGTTGTTTTGACTATGCTTCACCATGCCGATCAGTATGTGTCGGTGAAGGAGGGGAGGACCCAAGGACTTCGTTTAAAAATATCAATCGCCCGCTGATGTCAGCAGTGGCCAGGAAACCAACTCGGGTCGCCCTGTTCATTGAGCACTGCTGCGTCATTCCCCAAGGTAAGTGACCCACTGCGTGTATCGTGCAGGTGAATTGGTATGAGCCAATGCGGCATCGCACATCTTCTCATCTCTATCGCTAACCCCAAGTCACCTCCTCATTCCCTTATTTTTCTCTTCTCATGAATTCACTCCGTGGACAATGCTCTTGTTGAAACATATGACCCGCAGTGATTAAAACGATTTAAAATAAAAAAATAAAAGCCACAGAGAAAGCTCTTATCTTGTTCACAGTCAGACTCAAACGATTCCACAGCGATTGTTACGATTTGTCACGATTTCACAGTTGCAATTTGATTCAAGAACCAATAATTTTTGCGTCTTAACGCCTGATTTCTATTGCTTCTCGTTCTATCTCATTTGTCGTCTATTTTCTCCGCCCTATTCGCCTAAATATAAAATTTGCTGATTCACGTACGATTTGTAGGAATCGTAAATAATAAACGCACGTCCCATCGTCCGTGAGAAGAGATCCAAATTGGTTGAATGTACACATTGTTAGAAAACGTGGACATTTATCCGTACCAAATTCAGAAACCCTGAATCGAAACCGTCGCCCTGAATCACGACAATTCGTGGCATCGCTGGGATATGGGGCGAAATTGTACGGCCACATCAGTAGCATCACCAGGAAGTATCGGACGGCCGGCCAAACCGAGCAAACGACCCCACGGACCCGAAACGACCCAAAACACGCGTCACCAGGGTGACAAAACACCCAACCCTGAGGCAGGATACTCATCGTCGCGTCACTCCAGTGTGCTGCCACCATCCCACGCCACACCCTCTGAATTTTGCGATGGGGGGGGGGGGGGCGTGGGTGGGGTGGGGGCGGGTGGAGTGGGTTGTACCCCGCGCCACCCAATTCTTTCGAGGTCATCTTAAAGTTTCAGTGCAGTGGGGACTGGCACCGCAGCCGCCACCTCCTCATCGTCGACGGCCCAGTCCTGCGATGACGCCGACGGTGCCACGCCCGGCCGCTCCGCGTCGTCCACGCAGTCGCTCCTCGCCCGCGTGTAGTCACCCGCGGATGGAGAGGGGGCCCCGTCCCCGGGCGCCGTGACCCCCGTGACCCCCAGGGCGGCGGCGCCGCCACCGCGATGGTGCCGTCGCCGCCGCAGGATGAGCAGCACGTTGAGGGCGTAGGCGGCCAGCGCCAGAAAGCCCAGCGTCTGACGGGGGGGGGGGGGGAGGTGAGGGGGTAAAAGCAAGGCAGTCGGTCGACTAAGATCTATTTAGAATGTCAACTAGTTTTTGTTAGCAGGTTAAGGCCCGCCAAGCTGTACACAGCTCTCTTGTCAGAAGCGACCGGGCCATCACAAATGATAGCGCAACAAAGTGGCTTGTCGTGGTGTGGAAACTTATACCAGCCAAAAACACCGGAGAACCCGGAGAAAGATGTACGCGACCACGGGAAGAGAGATAAATGCAAATATACAGCATGCGTTAGGGTTACGATCGAACCCACGACCTCCTGTACACCTGGCGAGGAAGTTAACATCTCGCCATCGTTCCAACACATAGGGGCCATGGACTCGCATAGGGGCCAAATGCATTGCATGGGGACTCAAACTTATGTAAGGAGCCAGACTTGCACAGAGGCCTATAGACAGACCAAGAGATCCATAGACTCACGTTGGGAGCCACATACTCGCACAAGACCCATACGGCAATTGCATATGGACCTGTAGATTCAGTCCCCAAAGGAGGCCCACAGACATGCAGAGAAAGGCAAAGACTCCGACCCATAGTTGTAGACAGTATAACATGTTCACATGAGCCCTTCAGCCACCATAAGGAAAGACTTCGGTTAAATGCAGCGCTGCATTTCTGTAGCTTACGTGTTGGGCATTGTCTCGGCAAAATCCATTGTTGTACTCTACTCCGATGCTCACACGCGCATATCTATGCTGTTCCGCCTTCACCAACCCGCAACTGAGCAGCGCGGCCAAAATATGGCCAACCGACTCCCACGACTGCCGTCTGCATGTGGAGGCCCTCGCTCATCCAGCAGTAGATCGACACAAGGGCTGCACGTGTCTATAGCGACAGAAAGAGCCAGGGAAAGATCAGCAAGGCTGCCAGGGAGCAGCGCCAACTCGACCGGGCCCAGAAGGCGAACTGCGCCATCGACGAAGAGCCGACGATGTCTCCGCGCTCGCTTTGTCCGGTGTCCTCAGCTAGGGTGAAAGCCCACTGAGCTATGTAGCTATTTTCCGGAAGCGACCTGACTATCACAAATGATAGCTCAACGAAGCGGCTTACGATCACGTGGAAATTTACAACAGCCCAAATACTCTAATCGCGTGATGTCAAATCTGAATGCGGAGGGGAAAACCCGAGGACCCGGAGCAAAATCCACGCAACCACAGGGAGAGAGACACGCAAAACTCCAAACATACAGCAGGTGTCAGGATCGGGAAAGAATCCACGACCTCCTGCATATCAGGCGAGGGAGTTAACATCTCCTAGCCACCGCGGCGCCGTAGCTGATCACGGGCGAGCCTGATCGATGATGCCAGTCGGTGTGGATGGTCACGAGAATCAACGAATGAACGAGGCACCGACGCCGCACGCCAACCCCTCCACTCGGCGCTCCGCCCCTCGTACCACGGCCGCCACGTGGGCACCGCTGCCGCCATCGCCCAGTGCCGTGAGCAGCACGCTGGCCAGGAAGAGCAGCGCGGTCCACACGGCCGTGTTCACCACGTCCTGCGTTCGCGCACGAGACAGCGACAAGATGGCCCCGCACAGCCATCGATCACACTGTTGGGGGGGGAAAGCGGCGTTTGCGAGGAGCACCTACAAAGGCCGGCACGGCACACGAAGGGGGGGGTTGGTGTGGCCAGCACCGCTGCCCGGCCGCCCTCGTCTCCCAAGTGGCGATGTTTACGACACGACACGCCGGCTACTTATTTGAGGCTGTGTCGACCTACGGGGGAGCCCAGGACCGGTTCAGATCATTAATCGTCACATGTACCGGAGCGGGAAAGCACAAACACATACGCACGCAACACGGACACACGCGTAAACACACGGACACAAACGTAAATTAATTTTTATTCTACCAGGTAAGGCCCACTGAGCTATGTACAGTGAGGGAAAAAAAGTATTTGATCCCCTGCTGATTTTGTACGTTTGCCCACTGACAAAGAAATGATCAGTTTATAATGTTAATGGTAGGTTTATTTGAACATTGAGAGACAGAATAACAACAAAAAAATCCAGAAGAATGCATGTCAGAAATGTTATAAATTGATTTGCATTTTAATGAGGGAAATAAGTATTTGACCCCTCTGCAAAACGTTACTTAGTACTTGATGGCAAAACCCTTGTTGGCAATCACAGAGGTCAGACGTTTCTTGTAGTTGGCCACCAGGTTTGCACACATCTCAGGAGGGATTTTGTCCTACTCCTCTTTGCAGATCTTCTCCAAGTCATTAAGGTTCCTAGGCTGACGTTTGGCAACTCGAACCTTCAGCTCCCTCCACAGATTTTCTATGGGATTAAGATCTGGAGACTGGCTAGGCCACTCCAGGACCTTAATGTGCTACTTCTTGAGCCACTCCTTTGTTGCCTTGGCCGTGTGTTTTGGGTCATTGTCATGGTGGAATTCCCATCCACGACCCATTTTCAATGCCCTGGCTGAGAGAAGGAGGTTCTGACCCAAGATTTGATGGTACATGGCCCCATCCATCGTCCCTTTGATGCGGTGAAGTTGTCCTGTCCCCTTAGCAGAAAAACACTCCCAAAGCATAATGTTTCCACCTCCATGTTTGACAGTGGGGATGGTGTTCTTGGGGTCATAGGCAGCATTCCTCCTCCTCCAAACACGGCGAGTTGAGTTGATGCCAAAGAGCTCCATTTGGGTCTCATCTGACCACAACACTTTCACCCAGTTGTCCTCTGAATCATTCAAATGTTCATTGGCAAACTTCAGACGGGCATGTATATGTGCTTTCTTGAGCAACAGGACCTTGCGGGCGCTGCAGGATTTCAGTCATTCACGGCGTAGTGTGTTACCAATTGTTTTCTTGGTGACTATGGTCCCAGCTGCCTTGAGATAATTGACAGATCCTCCCGTGTAGTTCTGGGCTGATTCCTCACCGTTCTCATGATCATTGCAACTCCACGAGGTGAGATCTTGCATGGAGCCCCAGGCCGAGGGAGACTGACAGTTCTTTTGTGTTTCTTCCATTTGCGAATAATCGCACCAACTGTTATCACCTTCTCACCAAGCTGCTTGGCAATGGTCTTGAAGCCCATTCCAGCCTTGTGTAGGTCTACAATCTTGTCCCTGACATCCTTGGAGAGCTCTTTGGTCTTGGCTATGGTGGAGAGTTTGGAATCTGATTGATTGATTGCTTCTGTGGACAGGTGTCTTTGATACAGGTAACAAGCTGAGATTAGGAGCACTCCCTTTAAGAGTGTGCTCCTAATCTCAGCTCGTTACCTGTATAAAAGACACCTGGGAGCCAGAAATCTTTCTGATTGAGAGGGGGTCAAAAATTAAAATGCAAATCAATTTATCACATTTTTGACATGCGTTTTTCTGGATTTTTTTGTTATTCTGTCTCTCACTGTTCAAATAAACCTACCATTAAAATTATAGACTGATCCATACTCTGATCATTTCTTTGTCAGTGGGCAAACATACAAAATCAGCAGGGGATCAAATACTTTTTTTCTCTCACTGTAGCTCTTTTTCAGAAGCGACCTGGCTATCACAAATGATGGCTTAACAAAGTGGCTTGTAATGTAAACATTTATAGCAGTAGCCAAATACTCTAATCTCATGTTGATTCTAAATGTGGAGGGGAAAACTGGAGGACCCGAAGAAAAAAACCGCACGACCACAGGGATAACACGCAAACTCCAAATATACAGCAGCAGCAGGCGTCAGGGTCGGGATGGAACCCACGACCTCCTGTATACCACGCGAGGTAATTAACATCTCATAGCCACCGTGATGATGAGAGAGAGAGAGACACGCAAACTCCAAATATACAGCAGCAGGCGTCAGGGTCGGGATGGAACCCACGACCTCCTGTATACCAGGCGAGGGAGTTAACATCTCGCCACCGTGGCTCCCATACATAGAGGGAACAGGCGGAGTCCACATTGCTGGACTTCACTCTCCTGGCGAGCCAGGGGTACGGGGCAACTTCTTGACACCCACGGGAAGGGAGTTTCGCAAAAAAACAAAACATCTGCGCGCGATCCACCAACCGTCGGTCCCAGATTACAGGCCGCGCGCTCGGCTGCACCACCGCTCGCCCCCCCCCCCACGCCGCTCACCAGCAGCGGCCAGTTCAAGTTCGGCAGGCGCAGGTGCAGGGAGAACGCGAAGAGGAGCAGCAGGGCGCCGGTGAGGAGCAGCGAGAGGAAGCTGACCGCCTCAACGAGGTAGAGCGCCCCGCAGCGCGAGCACGCCGGCACGCTCTTGGCACTGATGAACGTCAGCAGGTCCAGCAACTGCTTGCGACACGCACGGGCAGCAGCAGCAGCAGCATCGCAGCACTGTCAAGCGGCGGCTGTCACGCACGTTCAACTTCTTTCGCGCCGTACGTAGCCAACCGCGCTAATCGGAGGTGCCTCGTTATATCTCTACAAGTGTCAATGTAGATTTGAAGCTTTCGTGACTGCAAGGATCCATACTCTTTGGTTCTATTCGGTAAAGTCACGTAGGTAAAAAAATTAAAACAACAAAAATCACGACGTTTCGGCCACAACACAAGCGGCTCATCGAGACGCTAACCTTCCTCAAAAGATGCACTCCAGCGCAGTCTTCGAGACAGTCTGGTCCTCCTTCACCTGATGAAGGCCGCTTGTGTTGTGGCCGAAACGTCGTGATTTTTGTTGTTTTATTTTTTACCTACGTGACTTTACCGAATAGAACCAAAGAGTAAGTGTCAATGTATCTCCGAGTGTCGCTATATCCTCTATGGCAGGGGTCCCTAACCCCCGGGCCGTGGACCGGTACCGGTCCGTGGCCGGTTAGGAACTGGGCCGCACAGCAGGAGGTGAGCGGTGAGTCCGCGCGTGGCACGCGCCATTATTTCATTATTTATCACTTCCGTCCGCGCCTCTTTCCCGCACTTGTCTCAGTCACAGTGTTGGTATAAAGCCCACAAGCTCTAGCCCCTAGTAGCCACAATGAGTTAAAAACAAACGTCGCTGGAAAGCTTCTTTGAAAAGGGGGAAAGACCCAATGATGAACCCCCCCCCCCGGTCCGTGAAAAAATTGTCCCTGGTGCCAAAAAGGTTGGGGACCGCTGGTCTTCGGGGAGCGGGAGTAGTCACGGTTCGCGCGCTACAAACCCGGCGATTCCTAGGTCAACTCAGCCTCAAATGAGCACCTGGTGCGGTGCGTAGTAAACATCGCCACTGGGGAGAGACAAAGGCGGTCAGGCGTGGTGCTGGCCACCCTCCCCCCCTCGTGTGCCGTGCCGGCCTTCGTAGGTGCTCGTGAAAAGCACTTGCCCCGACGGTCTGTTAAGGTTATACGGGGAATCTTTGTCTTTTATTGTAGTTTAACAAGTAGGCTTTCGCGACCAATATTACCCATGAAGATATTTTGGGATCGATCGCGTAAACGCACCACCACCACCCGCCAGTCAATTTGTGAGGTTTGTCACACAAACAAAAAGTGCCATTTCGTTACTACGTCAGCACACCGCTGTGTTGGAGCGTGAACCCACTACAAGATTTACAATTTGAGTAACGTTACGTTTCTCTGGTGATTGCAACCAGCCTCATCAGAAGACAGCCAGAGGTGTGGAGAAATCCTCCTCCTGTTTCAGTCTTGAATAGAGTGGATAAATGTGATGTCACTTGTGAGCCTATCAGGTGCGAAGACCAGAGGGGGCTTAATGTAGTCATATAAATTATAATGGATCATGTTCATCTGAGAATATGCAGATTAACATAGTCCATCGCATGTCCCTGGCAAAGACGCGTGGAGTGTCACAACGTCTGTGTGATCCACCAACCCTGGCTGCTGCCTCCCCACAGCGCTGGATCACAGACAAGCAGGATAGGCAGCCAGGCGGTGAGCGCGAGCTACGTTCCCCAAGTTCTGCGGTCCTCTATAGATGAAGGTGATATCGGCTCGAGTTAATTAGTTGTTTACGCGTCAGAAGAGACCGGAGCACCCGGAGACAGTCCACGCATGCGACGGGGCAAACCACCACCACCACCTCCACCACCACCACCACCACCTCCACCACCACCACCACCTCCACCACCACCACCTCCACCACCACCACCTCCACCACCACCACCACCACCTCCACCACCACCACCTCCACCACCACCACCACCACCTCCACCACCACCACCACCACCACCTCCACCACCACCTCCCATGCAGACGCAAGTCCACGTTTGCTGTTACCGCCTTCTCCCTGCCAACCCAGCATATGTGCACCACCTCGGCGCCAACGCGCACGGAGTCTCACGACGTCCGCGTGATCTGCCAACCCTCGCTGCCGCCTCCGTCGTCATCCCAACGAGTGGACACGGAGCGCCGGGTGCTGTTTGGACAGCGCCGGCTTGAGTTGTGCTGCGTCGGCCGCGGTACGCTGGGTGCACTCGAAGAGTGTTTGTCCGGGGCTCGCTGCCACTCTCAACGCATTGATCCCACAGGGGAACAACGCGGACCCGGGGGAGCACAACAATCGCGACGACTCGTAGCGCGTATCGATGGAAGACAACGATAAGAACCTTGCAACATCAATTGCAACAACTGAGGGCATCGTTGCTGTATTTTGCAGGATGTTGCAATGGTGTGACAATGAGCGCACTCCACTTGGTAGTTTATATCTCCCGGCACGCTCGTTGAAAAAAAATGCAAGTTTCTAAAAATCCCCCTGCTGTTGACCACCCAGCAGTTCAAACGGAATACCACAAACTAAACGTGTGATGAACAACTCTATTTTATTCTGATTTATTTTACCAGGTAAGCCTCACTGAGATATGTAGCTCTTTTTCAAAAGCGACCTGCCTATCACAAATAATAGCTCAACGAAGTGGCTTATCATCACGTGGACATTTATAGCAGCCGAATACTCTAAAAGCGTGTTGTTGATTATAAATGTGGAGGGGAAAACGGGAGAACCACGTGACCACGGGGAGAGAGACACGCAAACTCCAAATATACAGCAGGCATCGTCAGGGTCGGGATCGAAACCACGACCTCCTGCATACCAGGCGAGGGAGTTAACATCTCACAGGTCCAACACATCTCACCAGTGTGGCAGAGTAGGCCACGGCTCTCTCTCGAGCTCCCTCTAAGTGGAGGTCCTTCCACCAGCAGTGGCGTGAGCAAGAAATTGCAGGGCTGCACTTTAGCATTTTTTTGCCGATTTGCTGATTTTTGCCAGACTTTTCGGATAAAAATACGGTGGTATAGCCCACATCAGTGGCCATGCGACCGATTAAAGGTGAAACATCTGCATGAGTTTTTTTAGGTTGCACACAGCTGCTGAGCAACAAGTCTTACGTAGGCAACAACTAAAAAGATCGTCAAACGGCCAGCAACCAACAGCACCATGGACAGTTGTGACAGATAAAAGCGAACGCATTTCTTGAAGCGAGCGAGAGCTGGAGACAGACAAGGACGACGACGGGAAGAGGGAATTCCCAAGTGGAGCAGTGCGAGGGAAGAAGCTGAGAGAGAGAATTGTCGTGACCCTCAGTGCGGTGAGCGGGGTGTGTCGGTGAGTTGATGGGTGTGTAGGCGAGTTGATGGGTGTGTTGGTGAGTTGATGGGTGTGTAGGCGAGTTGATGGGTGTGTTGGTGAGTTGATGGGTGTGTTGGCGAGTTGATGGGTGTGTTGGCGAGTTGATGGGTGTGTTGGCGAGTTGATGGGTGTGTTGGCGAGTTGATGGGTGTGTTGGCGAGTTGATGGGTGTGTTGGCGAGTTGATGGGTGTGTTGGCGAGTTGATGGGTGTGTTGGTGAGTTGATGGGTGAGTTGATGGGTGTGTTGATGGGTGTGTTTATGGGTGTGTTGGCGAGTTGATGGGTGTGTTGGCGAGTTGATGGGTGTGTTGGCGAGTTGATGGGTGTGTTGGCGAGTTGATGGGTGTGTTGGTGTGTTGATGGGTGTGTTGGCGAGTTGATGGCTGAGTTGGTGAGTTGATGGGTGTGTTGGCGAGTTGATGGGTGTGTTGGCCAGTTTATGGGTGTGTTGGCGAGTTGATGGGTGTGTTGGTGTGTTGATGGGTGTGTTGGCGAGTTGATGGGTGAGTGGGTGAGTTGGTGAGTTGATGGGTTAGTTGATGGGTGAGTTGATGGATGTGTTGATGGGTGTGTGCGCTACGAACCCAGATTCCCGAGTTCGATTCCCGCTCAGGCCAATATCGGTGACACCGGACCAGGTACTCAAACATTGCCACTGGGGAGACAAAGGTGGCCGGGCGTGGTATTGGCCACACCACCCCCTCGTGTGCCATCCGTGCCTTAAGAGGCGCTACCCGCTAACAGCACTTGCCCCAACAGTCTGTTAAGGCTATACGGAGGGGGAACTTTGTCTCTGTGTTTGAACTCAGTATGGATGTGACGAATCGGTGGGTGTGGGTGCGTGAACCCAAGTCCCTGAACGCGAGCGGAGGAGAAGTTCACAAAAGGCGAAGTTAATTCGCCGTGTCAAGGTGGAGGCGATATTCCGAGACTGCGCGCACACACGCGTTCTCTCTCCACAAGGTGAACTCGCCTGTTCACCTGGCAGCGAGACACACACACGGTAGTACAGTGTGCAACACCACGTGACACCGCAATTAATCGACCCCTAACATTTTAATGTTTTTACCCTTTGCATATTCATTCCTGCTTTACAATAAACCGAACTTCGCATTTTTAGATAAATTAGGGGGGTTGGGGGGGGGGGTCACAACACATCTGGACCACCCGTGCGTCCACGCACACACCAAGTTGTGTAGTGGGAACTATCACAAACACCACGGTGTTGCCATCACACACACCACGGTGTTACCATCACACACACCACGGTGTTACCATCACACACACCACGGTGTTACCATCACACACACCACGGTGTTACCATCACACACACCACGGTGTTACCATCACAAACACCACGGTGTTACCATCACACACACCACGGTGTTACCATCACAAACACCACGGTGTTACCATCACACACACCACGGTGTTACCATCACAAACACCACGGTGTTACCATCACAAACACCACGGTGTTACCATCACACACACCACGGTGTTACCATCACACACACCACGGAGTTACCATCACACACACCACGGTGTTACCATCACACACACCACGGTGTTACCATCACAAACACCACGGTGTTACCATCACACACACCACGGTGTTACCATCACAAACACCACGGTGTTACCATCACAAACACCACGGTGTTACCATCACAAACACCACGGTGTTACCATCACACACACCACGGTGTTACCATCACACACACCACGGTGTTACCATCACACACACCACGGTGTTACCATCACACACACCACGGTGTTACCATCACACACACCACGGTGTTACCATCACACACACCACGGTGTTACCATCACAATCACCACGGTGTTACCATCACAAACACCACGGTGTTACCATCACAATCACCACGGTGTTACCATCGGAAACACCACGGTGTTACCATCACAAACACCACGGTGTTACCATCACACACACCACGGTGTTACCATCACAATCACCACGGTGTTACCATCACACACACCACGGTGTTACCATCACAATCACCACGGTGTTACCATCACACACACCACGGTGTTACCATCACAAATACCACGGTGTTACCATCACACACACCACGGTGTTACCATCACACACATCACGGTGTTACCATCACAAACACCACGGTGTTACCATCACAAACACCACGGTGTTACCATCACACACACCACGGTGTTACCATCACACACACCACGGTGTTACCATCACACACACCACGGTGTTACCATCACACACACCACGGTGTTACCATCACACACACCACGGCGTTACCATCACACACACCACGGTGTTACCATCACAAACACCACGGTGTTACCATCACAATCACCACGGTGTTACCATCACAATCACCACGGTGTTACCATCACAATCACCACGGGTTAGTGTTTCACTGCTGCTGCTGCTGCATATTTTACATCTCCACGTGCCGATGGTGACGATGACGTCACTTCCGCCGAGCTGTCACTGGTGACGGGCGGGTCGCTCCTGCGAGCTACGCGGCTCAGTGGGGGCCCTGAGCTCAGAGAGTGAAACGCGCGTTCGGCTTGGCCCCGTTTTCACATCGCGGGCGACTGAACGCGCCCCATGCAAGCGTACCTGCAGTGTGCGTGTACGCATACGCGATTCAATGTCGACAACACGTGCATGCGACATGCACACACACATATATATACACGTGCACCGTGTATATGAACGTGCGTGCATGAAACCATCTGCGCACGTGCAACGGCGTACGCATTCACACGCACGTGGAATCAACTACGCACGCACGCGTGTACACCCGTGTGCAGCGTGTGCAATATGTACACACGTGTACACGTGTCGCTACGTGTGCGTGCACCATATCCCGACAGACCCCCCCCCCATGTCCCTGCACACCCCCTCCACACCGCCTCGACCTCTTGCAGCCCCCCCCACCCAGACCCCCCCCCCCCGTCCCACCCACCCAGAGCTCGCACCGTCTGCGCGATCTTGACGAGGCCGGGCGGCGAGCGAACGTACGCGCGGTCGCAGGCGGGCGCCCAGCCGCGGCGATGCAGCAGCACGGGCTCCGTGGTGGGCTGGTAGGGGCTCGGCCCGGCCGGCATCATGGACGAGGCGGCGTGCACAGAGACCCCCGCCGCCGCCTCCTCCTCCACATCCTCGCGCTCCTCCCCGCCCCGCATGGCTGCGGCAGCGGCGGTCCTGCAGCTGCTGCCGTTTGATCCTCCTCCTCCTGCCCTTCTTCCTCTCCCCTGCCTCTCCTCCCTCTCTCCCTGCACCTCCTCCTCTCCCACTCCTCTCCTTCACTCTCTCCTTGTCCCTCTCCTCCTCTCCCTGCTCTCCCCGCTCCGCCTCCTCTCCCGCTCCTCCTCCTCTCCCGCTCCTCCTCCTCTCCCCGCCTCCTCTCCCTGCTCCGCCTCCTCTCCCTACACCTCCTCGCTCTGCTCCGCCTCCTCTCCCTGCTCCTCCTCCTCTCCCTGCTCCTCCTCCTCTCCCGCTCCTCCTCCTCTCCCGCTCCTCCTCTTGCCTCCCTCCTCCGCGGCACCACCCACCCCGCCCGTTTCCACTCGGCCTCGCGTCATTTCCGGCACTCCACACACGCCACTTCCGGAATAGAAAAACCCCGCACGCGACGTCACATCCGGGTAGACGAGAGCGCGGCACCGCGATGACGTAACAACCGGGAACGTATGGCACCGCGGTGACGTCAGTCGGGAGAGCACGGCACCGCGGTGACGTCATAGTCGGGAGCGCATGGTGCAGTCTAATTTCTGCGCTTCGATGACGCCACAGCCGTGATAAAGTGGCGATAGAGGGGCACGCCCCGTGGAACGTGGCTGCTGACACGCCACTGACGTCACGTTCGGGCAGACTTCAAGAGGTTATGGCACTCCAGTGACGTCACGCCCCAGCAGCCCACCACTGGCAAGCAGAAATTGATCGAATAGTCGCTAATAATGGTCACGATATACAAATCGATGAGTCACGTGAACTGTATGCAAATTATACATGTTAGCTGAGTGGACTTTAAACACAATGAACCAGACAATACAAAGGAGGCCAAATATGCCGAGATAGCAGGCATTTATCACAATGCAATCTGATTAGAGCACTTGATTTAAATATATTCGACAACAAAAAAGTGGGGAATCGATTTTCTCTCGGGGTTAGTGAACGTCTCATCTCCCTTTATTGCATGATAGACACTTCCTGGCCAGGCTTTTTGGTTTTATCCCTCGGATCTGATACCCCCTTTGGGCGCTGGCACAGCCCAACTGAGTGAACGCAGGGGCCTTCAAGGTTCAGGTGGTTTGCCACTGCCGAGTCGGAACGAAACCAAAATACACTGGTCTCGCAAAGACGATGAATCTGGGATGGGTTTATAAGCAGGGCCAGGGGCAGGACTAAGAATGCATTTTTGTGTTTAGTTTGTTGTCTTTCCTCCACATGCTCCAATTGGCATGCGGTTGGCTACGTACGGTGCGAAAGAAGTTCAACATACGTGCATCCACACGAGAGTCATCCCATTAATTGGGTTGTGACATTCGTCGGTCCACGATGAGAGCCACAGTATCACCGTATCATCTACACGCGCCCCCTACTCCCGATGTTGGCGGTGCTGTCATACGCACGTACGTATGCACACACGTACGTACGTACAACGAATGTCATTCCCGCACCGTGCGTAGCCAACCGCGCCAAAGGGAGGTGCGGGACGAACGACATTACGTTCTCGGCAGCCCCAGCTCGTCCGGCGGGTCGCTCCCCCGTCTCCAGCAGCGCCACGCCTCATCCTCCCCCACCGCCCACAGTTCTCTGACCCGCCCCGCCTCCTGAGCGACGAACGCGCCGACGCGACGCGCCCGGCCGCCCGCCGGGCCGCCGCTCGCCATCGTGCGCGCGTCGCGCTCCGCCAGCACCGCCGACTGCGCCAGGCGGGCGGTCACCAGGATGAAGAGGGCCCCGCGCTCGGCTGCCGTCAGTGGGGCCCCCGCTTCCTGCTCGAACGCCGCCAGGAAGACGCCGGCCGCGCGCAGGGCCTGCCGGAGGTTGGGGTGGCGCGCCGACGCAACCACGTCAGCCATCGCGACGGCCGCGTCGAGGACCAGCGGCCCCGCGCACGCATCGCTGAAGTCGAGGATTCCGCACAGCTCCCAGCCACCAGCGCCATCACCGCCGGCGCAGGGTTTGGGGCGCACCAGCAGGTTCTGGTCGTGAAAGTCGCTGTGGTTGATCGCTGCGTGGGTCAGGAAGGGAAGGATGACCAGATGCCAGTGGTTATTAACTTGGCTTGACAGTCGATAATCATAGTATCAGCGTTAACTAGGCATGACAGTCAATGATGGTGGCAGCGTTAACCACACTTGACTGTCGATGATGGTAGCAGCATTAACAACACTTGGCAGTTGATGATGGTAGCAGTGCTAACCAGGCTTGGTAGTCAATCATGGTAGCAGTGTTAACTACCCTTGACATTCAATGATGGTAGCAGTTTTAACTTGGCTTGACAGTCAATGATGGTAGTAGAAGTGTTAACTAGGCTGGACTAAAGCTTGCACATAAAATGTAAACACGTTGCATACAGCGCGTTCGATTGACCACCGAAGCCACTAGTGGCTGCTACATTTAGCACTGTTAAAACAAGTGATGATGATCATGCTGATGTTATACATTCGAGAGGGTCATTTGTTTAGTATTGTCCTTCCCTTGCATCCCCGATTAAGGCAGTTGGCTATGTATGGTGCAAAGGAAGTGCAACATAAAACAAAACAATAAACACTAAAGAGAAATCATGCTTGTACATGGATTCTGGCACATGAGGGGGTACGTAGCCAGCACCACGCCCAGCCATCTTTGTCTCCCCCGTGCTGATGTTATTAGACACTGCACCAGGTATTCATGTAAGGCTGAGTCGATCTAGAGGAGGCCTAGGACCGTTCAGATAATCGTCACTGGTGTTGGCCATGAGCGGAAATCGAACTCGGGTCGCGCGATTTGTAGTGCAGCGCGCTAACCGCCACGCCACAGCTCCACACACACAGAGACAAAGATCCCCCTATAGCCTTAACAGACTGTTGGGGCAAGTGCTATTAGCGAGCACCTATGAAGGCCAGAACGGCACATGAGAGAGTGTGTGCCCAGCACCACGCCCAGCCGCCTTTGTCTCCCCAGTGACCATGTTTTTACGCACTGCACCAGGTAGTCATTTGAGGTTGAGTCGACCTAGGGGAGGCCCAGGACCGGTTCAGATGATTGTCACTTGTGTTGGTGGCCTTGAGCAGGAATCGAACGCGGATCACCAGGTTCATAGCGCAGCGAGCTAACCGCTACACTACCACTCCCCACACAGACAACAACAACAGTCGCAATTCGCCACAAAGTGGCGGTGACGTCACCACGACGCTTGTGCTAGGCTGTGTGCACGTTGAAGCCACATGAAGTGTCGAACGCTCGCTGGCAGGAGGTCACGGGACAGACCCAGGTGCCATGGGTCGACTGACTGAGATGAATGGCTGATGCACCACCTGTACCCCCTACTGTGCCAACTTGCTGTGCTTTAGCCACCCAGCGCTCCGCTCATTGCTGTGAGCATCGCTCCTCTGCCCTCCGTTGTTGGATGGCGAATGCCTCCAACTGCCCAGTAGCGTCCTTCACGAGCCTCCTCCACACAGGCCGATCTTGACACCGCTGGTACCAGTCATTGGCAAGTCCACTCAGCTCCACATCCTCCTGTACCACATCACTCCATCTCTTCTCTAGCCCGTGCCACGTCCGTTTAGCCACCTATATCCGGCTGAACAAAAGCTGTTTAGGCATGCGGTGGCTGGGCATGCAGGCTACATGACCCAGCCAACACTGCCTTGCCTGCTGGAGGAGCTCACCGATGGGACTTTGTCCAGATCTTTCAAGGATTTGTGAGCTCCTCACACAATCCAGCCTGGTCAAACCCAGGATGGATCATAGGCAGGCCAGCCTATTTTTTCTAACCGGCGAAGATGTTCTATTAGGGAGGTCCACCGTGGCCGAGAAGACCTGAAGCTTCGTGCGGAGCGACAGACCAGATAGCTTCCACACAGCGTTACACAACCGATAAAAATATAATGCCGCTCGACTGATTTGGAGTGAAACCTCTGCTGTCAAACTGAAGTCGGTCATGAGCATACTGCCCAGGTATGGGAAACTCTCCACTCTCCGCACAACTGCCCCATCACCAATTGAGAGTTGTGGGGGTGGAGTGTCCGATGGAACAAAATACCCAGGCAGGTGCTTAGTTTTGGTGGGGCTGATGGTAAGGCCCCACCTCTTAGTGGCAAACTTCAGGTTCAGCAGCAGCGCCTCCAACTCCTCCTCTGAGTGAGCAGCGATTACCAGATCATCAGCATACATAACGTGGTTGACCAATAGGGAGCCATCCCTTGACCGCACCCGGGCATCGATCAGCCTCACATTGTATCTGTACCAAATGGAAATTCCTCCGGTACCGCCCTTTCCTGAAACCGCATTGGGGCTTCGCAAGCCTCTCTTCAGCGTACCTGGGAAGGCGATGGTGAATAATCCTTGCAAGGACATTTCTGGCACACTGAGGAGTGAGATGCCCCTGTAGTTGTTACAGTCTGTGTGGTCCCCCTTCTTAAAGAGGCATCTCACTCCTCAGTGTGCCAGAAATGTCCTTGCAAGGATTATTCACCATTGCCTTCCCAGGTACGCTGAAGAGAGGCTTGCGAAGCCCCAATGCGGTTTCAGGAAAGGGCGGTTTCTTAAAGAGGGGGACCACCAGGGCATCCTTCCAATCCTGCGGAACGTGTCCCAGTGGTCCACTGTTGTTATGATGTCATGTAGGGCAGTCTGTGCACAAACTCCACCCTCCCTCAGCATTTTGCTTGGAAGTTCATCTCTGCCAGGTGCCTTTCCTGGTCTTACACTCTGGATCGCCTTCAGTACTTCTTCAACAGATGGCACCTCAGCAAGCCACTCACAGGAGGTGACTTCTTCTTCCAATATTTGAGACACTGCAACCTCAGCAGGATCATCCCCACTTTGTCCCACGATGTTTTCCAGGCTGAGGGATTTCCCCTCCACCAGGACCTCACAGAAATGCTCAGCAAATCTGCAATACTGTTCCTGGAGGTCAGAGATTTGATCACCGTTCTTTCCCCTAATGATGGTAATAGGTGTGGTGCTGCAGGTTACTTTTTTGATGGAGTTAAATAAAGTTTTGTGATCGCGGGTCAGTGGGGCAGACTCCATCTCCTCAGCAACCCGCAACCACCACCTATCCTTGCAGCGCCTCACGGCGCTCCGAACCTCCGAGCGAAGGCTGCGGTAAGCCTCCTTCTCTGACGTGGGATGCTGTAGATGATGAGAGTGGGCCTGTCACTTTTTTCAGCCAGCCTGAACACCTCCTCTGTCAGCCAGGGTTTCTGGGGAGGTCTGGACCATGTACCCAAAGCAGCCATTGCAGCTGCATGAGCCACAGTCCTAATCCTCACCCATTTCCTCTCGACAACTGGAGGATGTCCTAAACCTCACCCATTTCCTCTCGACATCTGGAGGAGTGGGGGATGATGCCAACCCCAGCCGCAAGCGATGATGAAATTCTCGCTTGCAACTTTCAGCTAGCGGAGACCAGGCCAATTTGGATTTGAATGGGGTCCTGGGTGTACACCCACTACCAGAGTGTAAGAATGGCAGGTGCATCTTACAGATGACAAGTCGATGCAGTGGGCAGATCAACTCCACGGTAGGTCCTGGTGTCAAGGACATTGGCCCGCATCCGCTGTTCTGTCACTATGTAGTCCAACAGATGTTCTTGCTTGGACCCGGCATGCATCCATGATATTGTGTGGATGCGCCGATGCCAGACCAGCGTGTTGGTAATTAAAAGCCCATGGGCTGCACAAAAATCTAGCAGCCTCCTACCATTGTTATTGAGCTGATCTGGCCCATGCCTTCCAATCAATCCAGACCAGGTGCCAGAATCATGACCAACTCGGGCATTGAAGTCGCCCAACAAGATGACTCGATCCCGAGGCGCCACTTTAGCTAGCACCTGTGACAGGAGGTAATAGAAGGCATCTGAATCATCAGCCTTGCCTGCATCCCTTCATTGATGTGCATCTTCGGTGGGGGCATAAGAAACCACGACCACCACTCCTCGCCTCCGGATGATGGGAAGGCGAGCCCAAAGTAGCCTGGGGCTTACCGCTTCCCACACCTCAACGCCACGCTCCCACACCCCCTTCATTATTTTGTTCAGAAGAAGATCCACTCCCTTTTGTTTGGCAGTCTCCTGCCCCAAGTAGAGGACCGTCCACCTCTCATCATGGTAGGAGCCAGAGCTGGTCCACCGGACCTCATGAATACCACAGAAATCCAGGCGGTACCGGTCCAGCTCCCGAGAGAGGAGTGGCAGCCTCTCCTCCGTAGTGAACGTTCGAACATTCCACGTGGCCACCAGCAGCGGTTTTTTGTTGTTTCTGGAGGAGCCCCGAAGGTAAGGGTTCAGCCTCCTGGCTCCGCCAAATGGGGTTTGGCCAGGAGACGTCATAGACACCTTTCTCCCCGGGGCCTCCGGCACAAGCTTAGATGTGGTTTTATGGTAATTAATTGAAGGTGGAGGTGTTACCAGCCCCTTGCACCCGTCCAGAGCCCCCATTTGGCCGCTGTAGTGGTTACAAACGCCATGAGGGGAATGGCCGATTTAAGTTATCCCTCCCCCCCACGACACTGCTCACCACAGCGTTGCCGTCCGGCACCAACGAGGAGGTAGGGGGTTGTTTTTGCCGGATCACAGACACACAAAAGACAAAGACACAGATGTACACACACGCACTCTACAAGACAGGGGGAGAGGACGCAGACGCAACACAGAGTGGTCGCGTGTCACTCACAGGGCCGAAAGTGTCGCAGGTTGGGTAGCACACGCTCGCGGAACTGGCGCACCACGTCAGCAAGCGTGGCACGCAGGGAGACGTCCTCCACCTCGTCCACGAACGGGGCGATGAGGTGGGCCTGCCGGAGGCCCCACCGCCCGTCCGAGTGAAGTGCCGCCCGGCACGGCTCGTGGAACTCCTGCGAGAGACAACGTGGCATCGTCGCACGTCGTCGTCAACATCAGAATCGTCGACGGCATCGTTATCATCAATGATATGGTCATCATCACAATTATCATTTTCAACATCAATCTTGATTTGAAGCTTTCGTGACTGCAGGAATCCATACTCTTTGGTTCTTTCGGTAAAGTCACGTAGGTAGAAAAATAAAACTAAATAAAAATAACATATCACGACGTTTCGATTGCAACACAAGCGGTCGTCCTCAGGTGGAAGAAAATAATCCAACCTGAGGACGACCGCTTGTGTTGCGACCAAAATGTCATGATATATTATTTTTATTTTGTTTTCTTTTTCTACCTAAGTGACTTTACCGAAATAACCAACGAGTTTTTTTTTGTCTAAACATCGTCATCGCCATCGTCATCATCAACGTTTGATTCACCAACAGCATCGTTGTCATCAATGACATGACCATCATCATGAACAATGACATTTTCATTGTCATTTTCAACATCGTCATCGTCGTCATCAACATCCGAATCATCAGCAACATCGTATCATCAGTAACATGCTCATCATCATCATCACAATGATCGTTTTCAACATCACCATTGTCATCGTCGTCATCATCAATGTCCAAATTGTCAACAGGCTGGACTAAAGCTTGAAAATTAAATAAAAAAGACATTGCATATAGTGTGTTCGCTTGACCATTCGGCAGGAGAGATATCACGGCTGATGATGATAGTTAATTAAGATCTAAACTAAAAATTGTAATTTTCTATTTTACCAGGTATGGCCCATTGAGCTATACAGCTCTTTTTCAGATGTGACCTGGACACAAATGATACCTCAACGAAGTAGCTCACCATGTGGAAATTGATAGAAGCAGCCAAAGCCTCTAAGCGCGTGATATTGATTCTAAATGTGGAGGGAAAAACCGGAGGACCTGGAGATAAATCCACGTGACCACGGGGTGAGAGACACGCAAACTCCAAATATACAACAGTCGTCAGGTTCGGGATCGAACCCACAACCTCCTCCATACCAGGCGAGGCAGTCAACATCTCCTCGCCACCGCGGCGCATTGCACTGCGCCGTACCTCGTGCAGCGTGCGGTTCATGCGGGCGAGCGTGCGTCCCATCTGCCGGAGCAGATCGTCGCCGGGTTCCACCTCCTCCAGCAACGTCCCCGGCAGGAAGGTGAAGAGACGCACGATGAAGCGTGACTCCGATCCGTCGCCGTCTGCTCGCACACACGACGACACGGCCCAACGTGCAAGGGATGATCCAGCGCTCGTCGATTCGCCCCGGTCACCCGCTCACCGGCTTGTCCGTGACGTAATTTGCACGAGTAGTCCGTCGTTGCGTGCTGGTGCCGTGGCCAAAATTTAACACGTTTAAAAAAATGTCACCGCGAATGACTCGCGTGGGACTATCCTGACATAGCAATCATTGTCATAAGACTCAGGTGAGGCTTTGCTAGATAAGCTAAATAATAATAACGAAGACAATAAGAATAAGCACTACCGGTCCCCACTCACGGACAAAACACCTGCTTTTGATCATCATTATCGGTGAGTGCAGTATTTATTCAGTATTTATACTCCTATTTGTCTAGGGATGATTTCATATTGGGTTTTTACGTGTTTATTTCAATTATTTGGTTTTTATTTTGTGGCATACAGCACGGTACTGGTTTCAATTGTGATTTTTGGTTATCATACACCCAACCCCATGACTTAATAACAACAACACACCCACACCGTCACCATCACCGTGGACCCAACTGCTCAGCCGGCATCGTCTCACCCAGCGTCTCCATCGCCATGAGCCGCCCGTCCGCGGCGGGCACGACCGCCGGCACGGGGAACCCGCGCTCGCCCAGGAAACGCACGGCTTCCGTCTGCGCCTGTAGGAGGCCGGCGCGGTGCCGGCTGTCGGCTGAGTTGGTCACCTTCAGCACATAGCCGTGGGGACACACGACGGACGGCGACGACGACGAGGAGGCGGAAGGTTCAGGGACCGCGTGGCCTCGTGCCTCCACGTGGAAGTTCTGGTCGTCGTAGCTGCCCAGCTCGGTGACGGTGGTGGCATTGATGCCGTACAGCCTCTCCACCAGCTCCCTCACCTTGTCCGGCGAGACGTTGGGTCTCACCAGCTCCTCCTCCTCCACCTCCTCTTCATCACCTTGCTCGTCCCTGCCCAACATCCTCTCTCCCCTCTCTGCCTGGTCCCTATTTCTCCCTGCTTCTCTCCCTGTCCCCTTGTTTCTCTCTCTCTCTATCCCACCCAACTCTTCTGCCCCCCTCTCTCCCCCCTCTCTCTGTGTATTTACGTTGATCTATCCCTTTCGTCTACAGATCTCTCTTTTTGTGTGCATGAACGCTGAACTTCTTTCACACCGTACGTAGCCAACCGTGCTAATCGGAGGCGTGGGGGAAGGACAACAAACTAAACACACGCATCAGTTCTAAAGACATTAGTTTTCTCTCTGTGGTTGTGATCCCTCTCTCGGTCTCTCTGAACTTCTGCCCACTTCTGCGTCTCTCAATGTCTTTGTCACACTTCCTGCCTCTCCACTTTCTCTCTCCCTTTCTCCTTTAACTTCTCTTTTTCTACAGCTCTGTCCCGATTGCAGTCTGTCTACCTTCCTATTGGTCTCTCAATGCGTCTGCTGTGCGTCTCTCTGTCCCTGTGTCTGTCTGCGTGTGTTGTTCTGGGGAGCGGTGGTGTCGCGGTCAGCGCTGCGCTACGAACCCGGCGACCTGAGTTCGATTCCCGCTCACGGCCAACGCCGGTGACGATGATCTGAATCGGCTCTGGACCTCCCCTAGGTCGACTCAGTCTCAAATGAGTACCTGGTGCGGTGTGTAAATATCGCCACTAGGGAGACAAAGGTGGCCGGGGCGTGGTGCTGGTCACCCACCCCCTTGTGTGCCGTGTTGGCCTTCTTAGTTGCTCGCTAACAGCACCAGCTCCGACAGTCTGTTACAGGCTAGACGGGGCGATCTGTTTTTTTTCTTTGTCGTTCTGCCCACGCCTCTCTGTTCAGACCCCCGATTCCCCGGGGCTCTCCGCTCCGGCGGAGGCGTGACGCGGGCGGCACGCGGGGAACAAGGAGGCAGGGAGAGACGCTGGTAAGCGCGGGGTCCCTCCACACACCTGTGACACAACCGGCGCAAGCGGCCGGGGTTAGCGCTTGGGCCGTGGCCTGCAGCGTTGGCGGATCGCGCAGAGATTGCCTTCCGCGCAGTTGGCAGTGCGGCAAGTAGGTTATCGACTTAACAGCACGTACAAACCTCCTCTTAGTTTTCATACTTTGATACGGACAAACATGTTTCCCATGATGTAGCTGCTCAACTCGAGCTATGAATGCTCTGACATGTGTGGCATTGTCCTTGTGCTGCTCGCCTTTTGGCGCTGTCCTCTGGTCTGACACTGGTAGTAGTGAGACAAGGACACAAAGAAGGCCGCTGTCTCTGGTGTAGACCAATCAGTTTCAAAGACAATGCCCGTAGATTATCAGAGCCGTGTTTGTTTGCATGTTCACCACAAGAAGAATGTGTGGTTAATGCAGTGCTTTGATTCCTTGCAAAAGGTTTAATCTATTTGGTGTGTGTACATCTTCACACTACTCCTGTTTATTGCCAGAAAGGGTCACACACCCATGCTTCGTCTGCATACTTTGTACTTTGCTGTTGTGGTGTTGGTGACCCAGAGGTCAATCTCGCACCTGCCGTCACTCTGAATGAATGTTAAACCAATCCACCACACAGTTACTTGAGTGAGATTATTAGAATCTCTCCACGGTGGCTAGATGTTAACTACCTCGCCAGGTATACAGGAGGTCGTGGGTTTGATCCCTACCCCTGACGATGCCTGCTGTATATTTGGAGTTGGCGGTGTCTGCATGGATTTCCCTCCACATTTAGAATCAATATCACGCGTTTAGAGCATTTGGCTGCTGCTATAAATGTGGGCGTTGTAATGATAATGATAAGCCGCCACTTCGTTGAGCTATCATTTGTGATGGCCAGGTCGCTTCTGAAAAGAGCTACAGAGCTCAGTGGGCCTCACCTGGTTAAGTAAAATTAGTTGAGTTCAGTTGAGAATTAACTACCCACCTAAGCATGCACTCACCTACCCACACACCGACCCACGAACCCAGCCACCCATGCACCCAGCCACCTACGCACCCAGCCACCCACGCACCCAGCCACCCACGCACCCAGCCACCCCCGTACCCAGCCACCCACGTACCCAGCCACCCACGCACCCAGCCAACCACGCACCCAGCCACCCCCGTACCCAGCCACCCACGTACCCAGCCACCCCCGTACCCAGCCACCCACGCACCCAGCCACCCACGCACCCAGCCACCCACGCACCCAGCCACCCACGCACCCAGTCACCCACGCACCCACGCACCCAGTCACCCACGCACCCAGCCACCCACGCACCCAGCCACCCACGCACCCAGCCACCCACGCACCCAGCCACCCACGCACCCAGTCACCCACGCACCCAGTCACCCACGCACCCAGCCACCCACGCACCCAGCCACCCACGAACCCAACCACCCACGCACCCAGCCACCCACGCACCCAGCCACCCACGCACCCAGCCACCCACGTACCCAGCCACCCACGTACCCAGCCACCCAGCCACCCACGCACCCAGTCACCCAGCCACCCACGCACCCAGCCACCCACGCACCCAGTCACCCACGAACCCAGCCACCCACGCACCCAGCCACCCACGCACCCAGCCACCCACGTACCCAGCCACCCACCTCGCACGAGAGGTCACCACGAACCAAATCTTCACTCCGGAAGAGACAACAGCAGGCTGTGGTCAGCCAGACTCCGGTGATGCCGGACTGTCCCTAACAATGTTGAAGTTGATTCCAAACGAGACGACAACTTTTAATTATCGTACAGGAAGCGAGTCACGTTGCCCTAATGACCGTGGACGAACGAGCCGAGTCATCAGTTTAATTGGTTTAAAAACATCGCGCGGATAGACCTGCGATTTGGAGTCGACTCCACTTCGATTCCGATTTCAAATTTGTGAATCGATAATGAAGGCGGTGGTGGGGGGGGATTGGAGTCAACCCCACTTCAATTCTGGAATCGATTCTCTCCCCCCACCGCCCCACGCTCGATGGGACACCGCGGGATCGCGCTCTGTTCCGGCAGCAGCTCACGCGGCCTGGCGAGCCACGTGAGCTGCTGCCGCTGCTGGAGCTACTGCCGCTGCTGGAGCTACTGCCGCCGCTGGAGCTACTGCCGCCGCTGGAGCTACTTCTGCTGCTGCCTCTACTGCTGCTGCTACCACTACTACTGCTGATACTACTACTGCTGTTACTGCCGCTACCGCTGCTGCCTCTATTGCTGCTGCTACTACTATTGCTGCTACTACTATTGCTGCTACTACTACTGCTGCCGCTACTGCTGCTACCGCTACTACTACTGCCGCTACTACTACTGCAGCTGCTACTACTACTGCTGCTACTACTACAGCTGCTCCTACTACTGCTGCCGCTGCTGCTCTGCATTAACAAATGTAACTTCAAGGGCGCGCGCCCCAAAATTTCGGCTACAAGAATCTCTCTCGAGCTCTCAGCGAGCGCCCTCTGGCGGAGAGAGAGGGAGCAGCAGCGCGGGGTTGTTCCAGATGTCCTGTGACCACTGCCCAGGATTATTCTCCGAAACGTCTTAAGACTTTCGGCAAGTCGGGGTTGCTGTGAAACGGAAATAATTGGTGGGGGGGGGGGTCACAATACATCTGGACCGCACTATACAATACTTGACAAAGATCCCCCATGTAGTCTTGACAGACTTGGGGCAAGTGCTGTTAGCGAGCACTACCTAAGAAGGGTTGTGCTAGTACCACGTGCCAGCGGTGTGTATGGGATCGTGCTAGTACCACGTGCCAGTGGTGTGTATGGGGTCGTGCTAGTACCACGTGCCAGTGGTGTGTTAGGGGTCGTGCTAGTACCACGTGCCAGTGCTGTGTATGGGGTCGTGCTAGTACCACGTGCCAGTGGTGTGTATGGGGTCGTGCTAGTGCCACGTGACAGTGGTGTGTATGGGATCGTGCTAGTACCATGTGCCAGTGGTGTGTTAGGGGTCGTGCTAGTACCACGTACAAGTGGTGTGTATGGGGTCGTGCTAGTACCACGTGCCAGTGGTGTGTATGGGGTCGTGCTAGTACCACGTGACAGTGGTGTGTATGGGATCGTGCTAGTACCATGTGCCAGTGGTGTGTTAGGGGTCGTGCTAGTACCACGTACAAGTGGTGTGTATGGGGTCGTGCTAGTACCACGTGACAGTGGTGTGTTAGGGGTCGTGCTAGTACCACGTGACAGTGGTGTGTTAGGGGTCGTGCCAGTACCACGTGCCAGTGGTGTGGTAGGGGTCGTGCTAGTACCACGTGCTAGTGGTGTGTATGGGGTCGTGCTAGTACCACGTGCCAGTGGTATGTATGGGATCGTGCTAGTACCACGTGCCAGTGGTGTGTATGGGATCGTGCTAGTACCACGTGCCAGTGTGTATGGGGTCGTGCTAGTACCACGTGCCAGTGGTGTATATGGGGTCGTGCTAGTACCACGTGCCAATGGTGTGTATGGGATCGTGCCAGTACCACGTGCCAGTGGTATGTATGGGATCGTGCTAGTACCACGTGCCAGTGGTGTGGTAGGGGTCCTGCTAGTACCACGTGACAGTGGTGTGTATGGGGTCGTGCCAGTACCACGTGACAGTGGTGTGTTAGGGGTCATGCTAGTAACACGTGCCAGTGGTGTGTATGGGGTCGTGCTAGTACCACGTGCCAGTGGTGTGTATGGGGTCGTGCTAGTACCACGTGCCAGTGGTGTGTATGGGGTCGTGCCAGTACCACGTGCCAGTGTGTATGGGGTCGTGCCAGTACCACGTGCCAGTGTGTATGGGGTCGTGCCAGTACCACGTGCCAGTGTGTATGGGGTCGTGCCAGTACCACGTGACAGTGGTGTGTACGGGGTCGTGCTAGTACCACGTGCTTTTGTCGAGGAGTATTGTGAGTAGCCAATGAGGGGGCGAATAGAAGGAGGTGCGAGCGGGTTGACAGTCCGGGATGACGCGACGTCACCTTCGGGAACGTGGGCGTGTCCGAGGCGGGGGGAGGAGCCTCCAAAGGGGTTCTTAAGGGGGACCCCGTGACGAGCGCGGGGTCCTGGCGTGGGGTGCCAGGGCAAGGTGGGCCACAGGGACTCTCTCTCCCTCCCTCCTCGTCGCGGGGCGCTTTTGGCTGAACCCCCGCTCCGGGCGGGCGGGCGGGAGAGCTCAACGGGGTAGCCGAGGCTAGGACCCAAAAAGTATTCAGTGTCCGGGTAAAGGACCGAGACAGAGTGCACCTACACTGGTGTGAGCTAGGATGTCGAGGGTGACAGTGATTTAAAGAACGGCAACAGCCCTTGTGGTATTCCTCACCTTCGCGTGGTTCTACTGCACACACACTTAGACAAAGTACCAGTGGCGTTTAAGGGGTAGTGCGAGAACCAAGTACCGCCCATGGCCAAGGCAGCCGTGTACATGGGTCCACCAGTGTGGTAGGCAGCGTGCGGTGGGTTGCAGTGCGGCTAAAATGCCAACTTGGTTCTCCGCTGGGTTTTCGGGTTGTGCGAATGGGAGCGAAACGTCGGACAAAGGGACCCCCCCCCCCCCCCGGTGAAGGCAGAGTGCTTGCTGCGCGAGGCGTGCGTTGAAACTCCGGCGCGCACGCGCACCTCCGACTAGCGCGGTTGG